CAGTTGAAGAAGGAAAACACACCCTGGCAAAATATGTAAAGGGAAGCCAAGAACCTACCTTTAATTGAAGTCAATAATCGGAAACTTCTCAAAGCACAGCAGACAAAAAATCAGTACAAAAAAGCTACATTCCCAACCAGAGTTGACAGCTGGCACAACAAAGCATTGCATGGGCAGTTCCTTGACAAAATTGAAGGAAAAGTTGATAAGGAGAAGACCTGGCTATGGCACATGAATGGATCACTGAAGAAGGAGACAGAAGGCCTGATTCTTGCAGCCCAGGAGCAAGCCATCAGAACCAATGCAATTAAGGCCAGGATCGAAAAATCAGCTGATGACCCAAAATGCAGACTGTGCAAGGAAGCTGATGAAACCATGGACTATATCCTCAGCTGTTGCAAGAAAATTGCACAGACAGACTACAAACAAAGGCACAACCCTGTGGCCCAAATGATTTACCTGCCAGCAGTAAAGAATTGGTGGGATCATAAACCTGCAATGGTAGTAGAAAATGAACATGCAAAAATACTGTGGGACTTTCGAATCCAGACTGACAAAGTTTTGAAACACAATACGCCAGACATCACAATTGTGGAGAAGGAAAAAGTTTGGATTATTGATGTCGCCATACCGGGTGACAGTCGCATTGAGGAAAAACAACAAGAAAAACTCAGCCCTTATCAGGACCTCAAAATCAAATTGCAAAGGTTCTGGCATGAACCAGTACAGGTGTTCCCAGTAGTTATCGGCATACTGGGTGCCATGCCAAAAGATCTCAGCCGGCATTTGGAAACAATAAACATTGACAAAATCACAATCTGTCAACTGCAAAAGGGCACTTTACTTGGATCTGCATGCATCATTCGAAAATACACCACACAGTCCTAGACACTTGGGAAGTGTTCAACTTGTGATTTTGTGATATGAAATTCAGCAGATATATCTCATTTGCTATGACATACTGTGTTTTTGTGTCAATAATAATAATAATAATAATAATAATAATTTTATTCTTATATACTACCACCATCTCCCCGAAGGGACCCGAGGCAGCTTACACACGACACAAGGTGCCTAAAAACAGAACATAAAATAAACACAGTATAAAATACAATAAGTAAATCACATACACGTATAAAACACCAATGAAAACTCAATAAAAAAGTGCAAAGCTTGGGTTGTCACTGTTTATGAAGTGGAAATACTGACTGTTCCTATGGAAAAAATGAAGCTCTTAGAGTAACAATGTGTTCTTATAAAATAATAATTAGCAGTAGGATGTTGAATTTGAATACCTTCTATGGCATTTAAAACACATGGTAGGGATAGAGTGGTATCAGTCACAGATATGTACTATCATTCAATAAACCTAGGTGCTAATGTAAGTGCAGTAAAAGAGTTCTATTAGTAATTTGCAGTCACTTAAATAATTTAGCCTGAAATGTATTAACGAGATCTTGTAGAACCCACAAAATTACTGCACTGAATAAAAAATTGAGGTGATAACAACTTTCTCTATAGGACTAAATTTAGTAAGTCCCAAATTGCTTGCTTCCCCATATGTGATGTAGGAGCATAGTCTGTGCTGCTAGTAGAGCAGAGGAGGAATCGATCTCAGGAAGTACTTTGGCGACAACTTCTGAAACCGATGGGTGATCACATTGGCATGATTTATTATATGGATTCATTTTTAATCTTAGGGAGTAGCCAAAGCTCAGTGATTGAACACTGCAGTTAGCTGCAGCTCACTATAGTACAACTCTTAGCAAGATGTCTATGGTTAATATTCAGATTTCAGTGAGGTTTTTATGTGTGTTTCACTGGCTATTCATTGAATTTATTACACTGTCCAACATACATTTTGGTGTCTCAAATGTTAGCTGTGCTTCTGGGTATATTTGATCTGCTGATTTCAAAAAATGGAACCATTTCCCCCCTATCAGCACTAGCTTTTGAAAAATATAACATATGCCATCTACCAGTCACCACCTGCTTGTCCATAGAAAACCAAGATAACCATATCTAAGAAACCAGATCTGGTGTGGTCTATCCTATGTAGTTTTTTGAATTAGGAACAGGCCTAAAACTGTGACACTGAGAATTTCTGTTTGTTGGGCTGTGATATCATTAGATCTGATTCAGACTAAATCTAATTTAATCCTGTTGAAATTGTTATATGAACCATCAATTGAAGCCTCCGCAAATTGATTGCTAGGCCCATCTGAATTTAACTTCCTAACCCATCTGAAGTAATTGCTGAATGGTAAGATAAAATATGTCAACAAATATGGAAAACAAAACAATGGCCCACAGATTGGAAGTGCGCAGTATTTGAAGTGCTCATTCCAGTTCCCAAGAAAGGAGACAGCAGTAATCACAGGACCATTGCATCGATTTCCCATGCATGCAAAGTGATGCTCAAAATCCTATAACATACTTTTTTTCCATATATGGAGTGAGAAATACCATGTGTCCAAGTTGCATTCAGGAGAGAAAGAGGTACTTGGTGTCATATTGTCAGCATATACTGAATAATGAAGTATTCTGTAGAATTTCAAAAGAAAATTAGCCTGTGCTACAGCAAAACCTTTAATTTTATAGATCACCCCAACTATAGATTTCTCTTAGAGAAATAGGCTTGCCACAATGCTTCATTGTCCTGATGTGTAAACTCTTAATTCTGTTAGAGCATAATATTGAGCAATGGGATGGTTTCCAGTAGTCAAGGGGATCAGGCAGCGCTGTATTTTATTATTTTGGCATACAAGATAAACACCATGCCTGCAAATGATCTTGTCAAGCAGTTTCATATAAATATTAAAGGGTATTGGGGAGAGAATGGCACCTTGTGGGACACCATATAACAGCTCCTTTTTTGAGGAGCAGCTATCCCCAAGCACCATCCCCAAGCAATGCCTGAGAGGTACGACCACAACCACTGCAGCACAGTGCCTCCAATTGCCAGTCCCTCCAGGAGTTCTAGAAGGATACCATGGTCAATGATATTGAAGGCCGCTGAGGGGTCTAGATGCACCAATAGGGACACAAAGCCCTTGTCAGTTAAGACTTGAGATCATCCACTAAGGTGACCATAGCAGTCTCAACTCTATATCCCCTGAAGCCAGTTTGAAATGGGTCAAGGAAGTGTGTGTCATCCAAGACTGCCTGGAGTTGCCTTTTCAATCACCTTGAAGGAAGTTATTAAGAGTAAAGGCAACACTTACATGAATTTCATTAATTCAGTGGATCTATTCTACTTAGGACTATCAATTTGAATTTAGGTTCATGTGTGCTTTAAATGAGAACCAGCATGTTGTAGTGCTTTGAGTGTTGTACAGTTACTCTGGAGACCAGGGCTTTAATCCCAATCAGCCATGGAATTCCACTCTGTGACCTTGGGCAAGTCTCACTATCATGCTTTAAAATTTAAAATAAATAAATGAAATTATAAGAATAAAAGTACTATAAACAGACTACACATAGATTATTGGACTTTGTCAATTTAACCTTTAACCTTTTTTTGAAATGCTATTGTACTTTACATCTTGAAATCAGGTGGTTTTAACCTACACTTGAAATAAGTGTAATTGCCTTTAATAATAATAATAATAATAATAATAATAATAATAATAATAATAACAACAACAACTTTATTTATATACCGCTCTATCTCTAGGGGGCTGGGAATTAAATGCAATGCTATGGCAGGCAACAATAATATTAGGTACAGGTCTGTGGCTGTTCATTCCAGGGCTGACTAGAGGAAATGATCTGGGTAATTGGTAGGAAGAATAAGGCCGTATTCGACAATGTATAGGGCTGAGTTAGAACTGGCCATTTTCAAAGGCTTGTTGAAACCACCAGGTCTTCAAGCTCTTACAAAAGGAGGGGAGGGATGGGGCCTGTCTTATTTTCCTTGAAAGGGCGTTCCAGAGGCAGGGGGCCACCACTGAGAAGGCCCTCCTCGTCCCCACCAACCACGCTTGAGGCGGTAGTGGGACCGAGAGGAGGGCCTCCCCGGAAGATCTTAGAGTTCGCCTTTTCGAACTAAGAAGAAATTTCTTTTGAAACTGAACATTGTGTGACATGACTAGTACATTTACATAATATTGAATGGGGAGACATTTCTTTGTAAAATCCCATATCAGTGTCTGTCCATCTCTAATCCTAATTAACACTATTACGTAATGTCTCTGCAGCATTCCACATGTTTCTTACTTATTCTGATTTTTGAAAAGCGAATTTCCCAGATCTTCTCTAAGGGTGTGGATTTCTTTGTGTCTGTATGTGTGGGTTTTGATGTACATGGCTACTGAAATTTGAAAAGACACATCATGTGGTTGTGAGACGGGTTTATATCCTACAAGGTTACTTTGTACAAACACCTGTTTGATCATCCAGTCTAACTCCCCATCCCGTTCCATTGTTGATGATCTCAAAGGAGAGCATAGTGACCATGGGCCTTCGTAGTGGCAAGCATAAGTCTCAAAAATGTAACATCGACCTCATCTCATTTCCATTATCCACTCGTAATATGTGGTCTCTCCCTCACATTGGCTTAGATAGCTTAAGAGAACCAGCTGCACAATATAATAAAAAGTTGAATGTTCAAAGAATATGAACAAAATGATCCCCGTGGGTATTAACCTTCCTGATTTGGTCTTAAAACCAGAACTGGCTGACCACTTATAATGAATGCTTCAGCTAAACCCCTGTAAGGGCCTGATTTTTGTATTAAATGCCTGAGCTTCTGAACAGGCAAGTAGCAAGATTAAAGAACCTGACTAGTTCATTCTGACCTTTAGCTGCATGAATATTGCCTTTTTAAAATCAGTCTTTGCCCATATTGTAGGTGAGATAAACTGAAGATAGCCAAAAATATCTTTTGATTGCCACAAAGAACGTGCTCTGTTTATGACTCATATCTCTTTAGATAATAACTCTCTATGTTCAGCTTTTAATATGCACTTTTCCCTCTCTCTCTCTCTCCTTTCTTGTAGCAACAGTCTCCCAGATAAGAAAACCACCAAGCAAAAATCACGACACTTCAGAAGCAGCAGCCCAGTCTTTCCCCAGAGTAAGCGAAGGAAAAAATAGCTAAAGTATAAACTACTATATTGTGTGATGGAAATTTCTAAGCTCTTTTTCCTTCCTCGAACTCTTTGGTTTTAAGCATTCCCTTTTCTAAATGTATTTAATTGAAAATAAGTTTCATTGCTAGCAGTGAAAATTACTCCTAGCAAAACATGTGTTTTTTTTATTTAAAGCACTGGAACAAATGCATCTGTATTGTATAAAATATTTAAATATTTAAATCATTCCTATTAAAGTTGTTTTCAAACAATATTGGTACTATTTTAGATTTTGGAACAGGCAAGGGCAAACTTCAATTCTCCAGGTCCTTTGGATTTCAACTACCACAATTCCTAACAGCCGGTAAGCTGGCTGGGATTTCTGGGAGTTGTAGTCCAAAACACCCGGAGTGCTGAAGTTTGCATATGTCTATTTTAGAACGTGTTAGTCTAGTCAATGGTTCTCAGCCTGTGGGTCCCCAGATGTTTTGGCCTTCAGTTTCCAGAAATCCTAACAGCTGGTAATCTGGCTGGGATTTCTGGGAGTTGTAGGCCTAAATACCTGGGGACCCACAGGTTGAGAACCACTAGCTAGTAACCCCCCCCCCCCCCAATTGCTTTTCATTTGCCTCCCTTCCAGGCATCACTGCTTTTGATGCCTCATAGTGATGGTGTTAGCCACTGACTATATATTTAGGCTGATAGCTTACTGAGGAAGCCTTTATGGGTGGACCATTACTTTATTTTACACACTAACAAAATCTATCCTATTTACAAAGAATTTTAAGGGAGGAAAAATGTAGCTCATGTATAGAGGTAGTGTCACTTTGCAGGCCTTCTGTTCCACCTGCAGTAAAATGCATTCTCAAAACACATCTGCATGCTTCCTGTTTTATTCTTAAAATGGCTTGACCTTCATAAGCTCATTGGAAAATATTGTGTATTCTTAGGAAATAGAATAATTCAATGATGGTAAATGAAATTATCCCAGTGTCTTGTAAGTATTTTAAAATACTGACAGTAAGGATTTTGTCCAGTTGCCTAAGGATGGGCAACTGTAGGGGTTGACTGGGGACTCTGAAGGGTTAAATGCCCTCATTGCCACCCCACTGTGGCTCGGTCCCCTTGAATTTTCAAAAAGGTCAGCAGTATCCCCAAACCAACAAGGTCACGACTGGTCACTTTACATTTTCATGCTTGAGAAGATAAACCCTCAATTAGCTTTTCTATCCAATAGATCACTCTTTCCCTTGCTGTGTTAACCTAAACACCATCAAAATCTGTTTGATGAATGAATAACAAAAGAATTCACCTACTCATATGTTTATATTTCACCCTCAGAGTTAATTTTTTTTGTCTAAATCCTTGTCTTCTAATGCAGGTTATATTAATGTAAATTACACAAGCTCAAATCCACTCAATAGTCCCAACAACAGTAAATCCACTGACTGGAGGAATTTACTAAGCCAGTTCTATCAATACAGTAAGCCGCACCTAATTGAAACCAAAGTAATAATAGTAGTTTCTGCTTCTAACATTTTGACATGGTTGGAAATATTGTTGGGTTTATTCCTATTCATTATTCTCCTATCACTAATTAATAATGTATTGTGTTTTACTATTTCACATGATATGGCATCATGTAAGCTCAAAGGCCCACCAATTGCATAAAAAAGGCTTTTGGGCAGAGCATGTCTCTCATCACTTTCTTCAGCTTCAAGTTACAGTGGCAGATGGAGGGATGGGTAGAAGTTAAAATGCTTCCCTTCCTGTGCAGCTTGGACTCAGAATTGAGCCTTGATCTCCTCTTGCCATGGCAGATTACCAAACATTGTTATATTGAAAGCTTCAGAAATACATGCATGCTAAGTACTTTAAAGCAAAAAAATTACTTTGGCATTGTTGATAATTTTGTATAGACAGTGAACCAGAAGAGAATATAATGGGAGGAATTTGAGATCAAGTTAAGCCCTTTTATGTATTGTACTGGTTTGTTTTTACTCTGCCTTTTCCCTAAAGCTGGAACTCGAAATGGCTTGTGTCCCATTTGTTTCATTGAGAACGTTTAAGCATATGCTTAACTTAGGATACATACATATGTTCTCTGAAATGTCTCCTTGCCTCATGGATGCTAGACATTCCTATAGAGCCCATACTTGGACTGAGTAACCACACACACACACACACACACACACACACACACACACACAAATATCAAGACTGGATCTTCCTTCCTCCCTTCAATGCACAAAATGTTCACAGAAATAGCTTCTGCAGTTTTCAGGGATCCCTCTCCATCTTACTGCTTATCCCATTCAGTGGAGTTCTGTGCATTTTCAAGAAGGCTGGAAAAGCTTCTGTGTGAAATAAGAGGAAGTTCACTTCCACTGGCCCTGTTACATTCAACTCAGTGACAACTTTTGGCTTATCACAAATGTACGAAATTGAATAACCATCACTTTGTAGTTACATGTTAAGCTAGAGGCATACCCAAAATGGTAAAGGACTCCATTGTGGATATGTTTTAAATATACTCATCGATGGAGTGCTTCAGAACAACAGAATTTTGATGGTTTTATTGGTGAATTTTAAAGTGTATAAAATATGGTCGTTGTGAATAATTAATAGAATGACCACAAAATCCCCATGGTTTTTGTAAAAACAGCTTTGCTTTAGAAATACCTTTTGCTTACATTTTCTCACACTAGAGGACTTTGCTAATTTCCCCCCCTAACATGGTATGCTTAAGGATAGTGGGGAAATTGCTTTGTATTTCAATAATTAATCAGTTTATTTGTAATTCCTGAACTTATGCAAACAGAAATATATATCTAATTTGAGCATGTTTTTATGGTGTTGGCATCATATGGTGCTTCTGTGAGGCTGCCCTGAGTCCCCCCTCGGGGGTGAGAAGGGCGGGGTATAAATATAGGAAATAAATAAATAGTATATTTCAATTTTCACACTTCTCCAAAATGTGTACACCTTGGTTGAAATGAATAAATCTGTGGAAAATACATATTTCTTTTTGCACAGACTTTTTATCCGCACCTCCACCCTTTAAAAATTGATGCAGAAATGGGAAAGAAAGGACATGAATGATCCAAAGTTGTAGAAATATGAACAGGCAGATTTACTCACCCTTAGGTCTAGTGTGTACAGTTAGTAATAAAATGCCATTATATAACACACTTTATCTTGAGTCATTTGAGACACATTTTCCTTCAACTGCCAGAATTAGTTGAGCTCCGCCCTGTAAAGCTCAAAAGGACTGATTGAAAAGGGAGATTTGTGCATGCCTGACTTTTGTGGACTGCTTTTTAGAAGCTACTGTTTAGCTTCATTTTAGCCCTGTTGAGTCCCATTCCAGAATGTGTTTCTTCTCCTGACCCCTCACCCAGAGTACTCTTAAAGGTCACCCAGAGTACTCTTAAAGGTCATTATTTTTGTTCATTGCTCTTTCTTTGGTTATTCACTATGTCAAATAAATAAGCAATAAAGTGCAAAATAAAATAAACAAATAAAAATCTTATTTTCTTGGATTTGGTTGTGAAACGTGTGTTCTTTATGCTATCACTACAACAATGCTTCCTAATAGTCTTTTGCAAGACTAGCGAACTCTATGTCTGCAGTTAAATGAATCATTCCTACATCAAGTATAGAAAGCAACTTGTGAGAAAGCAACTTTCTTTGTTTTGTTTCAATTTGCATTCGTTTTTCTCTTTCCAGAAGTAATTATTTTTGTAGAAACGATCCTCTGGTCCACTGTGTTCAATTTTTAACAAATTGTGCATTCAGACTATGGTCCCATGAAAGAGTGAAAACATTAATTAAGAAATACATGAAGACCATCCTGTCATCATCTTTAGAAAGTTGAGTTTTGTTGGTCTGGAGTGATGCTGCTAGGCACATCATGACCAGAAAGGTATATATATAGTTAGAACTGAGAAAAGATAGACATGGAAGTAGCTTAGGTGGAAAAGTTATGAACTTGGAGTAACTTTCAGAGATTTAAGAGTATTTTAATTTCAGAAAGGTTCTATAAGTTTTATATCTCAAATGCTTATACATTATTGTCTTTAAATCCTGCATAGCACTCTCTCTCTCTCTCTCTCTCTCTCTCAACAATATATATTGTTGTGGAAACACCAGTGAATATATGGCAGCCATGTTTAACACATGACACACAGAGCTATTAATGGTATTAAAAGGAATTTACCTCATAAAAGGCACTTCCAGTGTGATTTACAGTCTAGCAAAAGCTGTATTATGATGATAACTTTATAGGCAATGAAGTTGCCAGTAGTGGATTAAACTGAAATTCACCAGGTCTACTAAAGGGCCAGTGCTTTAGAGTGCTGGCAGAAGTTCAAGAAATGTCTTCATCTCCCTTCGGTCCTCTACTGAACAAACAAAAAAAAGAAGAAGTGTGGGACGTTTCCAGATATTTAATCAGGTTTTGGTAGTTCCAAAGGGCTTGCTAATGTTTTGCTACTCTCATCCTCAACTTCATCGGAATCTACAGTTCCATCAGCAAAAGGCCACCATTGCACCAGATTGAATAGACACATATATTTTGAAGAAACGTCTGGGTTATTCATAACATAACCACAACAGAGTTCCATCATATTTTCCATTAATAAGCATTTTAAATATCATGTCTAGAAAACAATGGTAGATTATAAAGTGGATTGAAGTTGGACAATGCCGCTCATTTCCTTTGAGAATCTTTTAAATCCTGGAGTATGTCTGCAGGATTTCTGATTAGGTGATTAAAAGACTGTTCATGGGAACAAAAGCTTGTGCATACTTGTAAGTGCTTAAACAGCTATTCAGAATGTCTATGCTAGCTATTTTTCCCATCCACATTTTGTTTCTATTTTTCATGATTTTTACTTGTCAAAGTTTCTTACTCATAGACAACCATGAAAAAGCAATCTTTAAGGCAAGAAACATCTCAACTCTTAGTAAGATACTATTGATTCCATTAAACACAGATCGGTTTTCCACCTGACTTCTAACATCATATATTTTCCATACAAGAATCAACACACAGCTGTTCTGACCATAACAAAATAACTGAAGTTTTGCTTCTATAGCGGATCTTGTTCTCAGTAAAGTTGTGCATATCTCATACATTGGTTTCCTGGTTCCTTCTAACATGAACAGTTAAACTCTTCTAGAATATGTAACAAAAGCTTTATTGACCAAGCTTTCGTTTTTGAAGCTTCCAGATATCCGAACTCACTTCATCCTTGTTGTGCTGCCATCTGGTCTGTGTTGGCATAGTCAATATTAACATCTCACCCTCTGCACAAGGGTGGTTGGAAATAAATAAGAACTTCAACTGTTCCAACAAAAACAAGTGATGTGTATCCACAATTGTCTGCCTTTTTGGGTTCAAAATGTGGATAAGTAAAGCAAAGCATTTCAATACTTGATGATTGAAGTGTGATTTCCAAGTTTTGGTGACCCTATGCAAATCTATCACAGGATTTTTTAAAAGAGGGTTTGCCTTTGCCTTCTTTGGAGGAGCAGAGAATGTGACATGCTTAAGATCAATTAATAGGTTTCCATGGAACTCTGTAAAACTGTCACATTGGATGAATAGAGGCGTGGATATGACAGTGTTTACAACCCAAGTAGAGTTCAAAGTCATGTCACTAGAGAAGCAAAGAAGATATTGTAAAATACAGTTGGTCAAGACTGGAAACATGGCAAAGCAAAATAGATAAGCAAAGGTAGGATCAGGGATGGCTGAGGAATGTCAAGTACCTTAACTGAATCTACCACTTACCTTATTCACCACCTGGCAGGGGCTAATGAGATAGCATGAGTCCTGAAAATTTGAGGATCTGCAAAAATTGAGGGTAGTGGTTATTTTCACTACACACATTTTCCCCCAATTATTTTTATTGATAAGTATCATAAAAGAACATTAAACAAGTACTACACACATTCTTAAATCTTTCATACCAGCATTGCAGCTGAACCCAGCCTGGATTTCAACGTATGTAGTTACTCCCTGAGCAAAGGGTCCCTTGATACTAGAAGAAGACAAGATTCCTCTACTACCAATGATAGTCAAGTATCAGACATTCCTTGACTATCACCATAACCTTTATTCTTATTAATTTAGGAATTAAAATAATTTCCTCATAAGAATATTGATGTCTGGAATATTATCTGGCTCACAGTCTTGATATTGTGTTAGAATCCACGTTGCCTTGAATTAGATAGCCTGCCTAAAATACACTTTAACAGATTTTACAACCAATCAGAATGAAATGTGGTCACAATAAACAGGCTCTGGAGGTTCTTATATTATCAAATTGCTGTAATAACTGTATATTTTTCCTGTTAATAAAAATTAACCATAAAATGTTAATTGGCCTTGGCCATTAAACTATTCATATGAAACCTACAACCTCCATGCATTAAACCCAGCAAATAATACAGCAGCAATGAGTACTACTGAGGTGCCCCATTTAATGTTTACATGTGGAAAATAAAGAAATCCCCTATTTATATCACTAGGATTCACAGCATGGTCAAAAAGTGGTTAAAATATGGAAACCATATTCCCAAACAGTACTATATTTATAGGAAACTCACTGCCCACAATCTGAAATACACAATGAACAGCAGAACGCGGACTGAGTGAAAAAACTGATACCTGTATTACCTATGCAATGGTTCACATCAACAATAACTTTGAACACTGTAAGCAAAGGTACTGCCACATGTAGAAGCCTTTTCAGCCATATGAAAGTTTTGAACCTATACCAAAATGACAGGATGGTGCTATCCAAAAAAAACCTGAGATGAC